GAAGCTGCAAAGGATCTGATTTGAGTCACAGATGCGTTCTAAGGTGTAATAAAATGTGCAGGAAAACGACACTGATGTTAAAAACACTCTCTGCTCTTCCCTGCACGTTGCACTTCAAGAGAGTTTCACTTGCAGTGCCTCTAAGCACTGATTTGTGCCACATTATAGTGTGTCCAGTAAGTTACACTTTTTGTTGCCGATGCTGCGGTAAGTACTGATGGCAGCTGTCTGTATGCTTTTGCTCAGTGCAGTCTTTGGTAGAGGCCGTCTGTGTAGACCACACAGACTTTGTGTTGGAAATACACCTGGGAGCACACGGGGTAGTGCTTGTTGTGTTGTGTGCTAGTGCTGTATGGATGGAGAAGACATTCACTTGAGCCTGAAGAGACCATCTCTGATTTCAGGAAGGCGCAGAGGAAGACTTGCTGGCTTGTTGGTGCCCTTGGTGCTTCTCCAAGAGATTCTCAAACTGTAACTTGTTACTTGCTATTGTGACAAAAGCTTTGCTTTAATTTGCTTACAGCTTTACTTTGAAACTTCCTAGTGTGTAGTGTGAATATTTGCATAAAACCAAATCGGTGTCTGTTCCTTGCTCTATATGATTGTCTTCTTATGTTGGCTGTGTTACACAACAGACAATTCCTATCTGGACAGACTAGAATATGTTTCTAAACCAGAGTGTGGCTGGAGAGAACCCAGGTGAAAGGAGTTTTGTTGAGGAGTGGTCTAGCTACTAGAGCAAGGCATTGGGTTCTGTCCCTGGCCTGCTGCTGCTTTACGGTGTGACTTTGGGCAAGTTGTCCAACCTCTTCCTGTCTTCAGGCTCCTCATCCTGAAATACAATTAAAAGTTAACAAAAAAAAATGAGTTGGGACCTTTCATTAGAAGATGCTATAAAAGGGAAAATCTCTATTTCTTTGACCTTCTTTAGGAGAAACAGGCTCAGGGAAGACCACTCAGATCCCTCAGTACCTCTACGAAGCAGGAATTGGCCGCCAAGGCATCATTGCTGTGACGCAGCCTCGCAGAGTAGCAGCTATATCCTTAGCTACCAGAGTCTCAGATGAGAAGAAGACAGAGCTGGGGAAACTGGTAGGTTGCTTTACAAAATCTTTAGAGAGTTGGTTTAGTACTGCAGTGCCGGTGGGACTGTATCACGGCTTAATGGGTAAGATAAGCAGCCATGGGAATAATAGATAGTCTTCATTTAATAATATGCCTGAATGGAAAAAAATGGCTTTTTACTTTCTTCTGTGGCTTGGGGGTGAGGAAGGCATGTTTGACTCTGTCTCTGTGCTATTTTACTTCTTGATTATCTGTGTTAATTTGGAAAAATACTGGTTAATGAATAAAACAAAACATATTGCATGCTCTTCCATTGCTCCATGTATCAAAAATCACTGTCAAGGAGAGCAGAGCGCCGAATCTGTGCAGATCGATTAATCTGTGGGAGAAAAGTGGAAGAAAAAGACTTTCCTTACATAAGGTTTTTGAAGAGCATGGAGTAGTTTCTAGCAGGGGAGGAAGGAAAGGAAACCTGGAGCATTTGGCAGTGTTGGGGTTGGAACTAGATGATCTCCAAGGTCCCTTCCAACCTAAACCATTCTACTATTCTATGATTTGTGATGAGCTTCTAGTTGGGGAAAAAAGCCAATTGGGATACAATGTTGAGAGCATCCTTTGGGTGGATTATTAGATTTGCAAGGCAAACTTGCTTATACCTGCAAATACGCTGTTACGCTTTCCAGTCTCCTTGGAGTCCTGATTGGCTGTCTGATGCACTGGCCAGAGGGCTTCGTAGTTCTTTTTTGTGGTACGATGGCCACGAGAAATGAAAGTAACTTTATGCTTGTACTTTCTATAATGATCTCTTCTGTAGGTTGGCTATACTGTACGCTTCGATGATCTTA